AAGTGGAAAAATTACCATCGAAAAGTGATACGAATGGCACCAGGAAAATAATACAGTAAACAATGGGGGGCCTTCGGTGCTGATAAGTTAGACAAATAGTACAAAAAAGTAAAAAGTACCAATTCATTTTATTTTAAATGTGCAGCAATGGCATTCCGTACACTTAATTGTAATGGCACAAGAACTTGATCAAATAGAAATCCACCATCAGAAGCGCATGCAGTGACTTGCTGTTTGTTATCTAGTTGGTGCCAAGAAAGCTTTTCAGGTGGTTCTTTTAATGTCACCAGAAAAGGATTACCATAAGTTGTGTAGGCAACCCAAAAACCTGGGACATTTACAGTACACGTGATTGCCCGATGGACAATCGGCACCAAACTTGTCAGCTGAGCATCTCCACCTGGCGCCGTTTGGCAGATGGCGCTTCAAGCTCTGTTGCTGACTCGTTGCTTGTCAAACTGATTCGAAGCCCGTTTCACTGACCTGTTTGGAGTATTTTCTTTATCGATTAACCAGGATCCTCTTTGCATCATCTAACAGCATCATCTCAGCTAGACCCAAAGGGTGCCAGAAGCCAGTGTTTTTGCACTCCAGCCATTCCATCACAGCTGCACCATGATCAAGGCTATTCTCGTCTTCAACAACCATGGGAAGCCTCGTCTTACAAAATTTTACGAGTTTTACGTAAGAGGCTTTTATTTCAGTAAATCTTAGCATTTAAAAAACTTTGGTTTCTTGTTTACCTATTGTGCACAAATCATCGCTGTGCAGCCTGAAGATATGCAGCAGCAGATAATTCGCGAAACATTTCAACTGGTCTCTAAGCGAGATGAAAACGTGTGCAATTTTCTTGAAGGTGGAAGGTAAGAGGATTTGTGATGACCATCATGTTATAAATTTTGTTGATGCAATAATTTGCTTCTAGTTTAATTGGTGGATCAGACTACCGACTCATCTACCGCCACTACGCCACTTTATACTTTGTTTTTTGCGTCGATTCATCCGAATCTGAGCTTGGAATTCTGGATCTGATACAGGTACTGTTCTATGAGATTTAAACTCAGTATTTGATGTGTTTTGTTTTACAGGTTTTCGTAGAAACACTTGATAAATGTTTCGAGAACGTTTGTGAACTAGATCTTATTTTCCACGTTGACAAGGTATGCCGTTGACTGTTGGCACCTCGATGCATCTACAACCACTATACGAATTCTCACTGGAATGTTCTTATTGTTACAACAGGTGCATTACATTCTTAATGAGCTAGTGATGGGCGGAATGGTCTTGGAGACAAACATGTCAGAGATTATTGCCCGAATCGAGGAACAAAACTGGATTGAAAAACAAGAGGTAAATAAGCTTCGTTCTTTCTAGCTCATAGTGGCACTGCCATATTGTATCACATCAAGGTTTAGATTCTTAAGTTTTAGTTTTAGATACAATTACTTTAGTGAAAACTAATGCTCATAGAATAGTCACTTGAACGGTAAAATCAGAGTCCTAGAACTTTTAGGCTGGAAGCACTTTTTTCGCGTCTTGCATTTTGCGAAACGTCCTCTACGTATCGACCCACAAGTTCACTGTTTTTTTTCATTTTCATCACACAGATCGGAATCAGTGCCGCACCAGCCGCAGCAGCCAGCCGAGCCGTTTCGTCTTTGAAAAACATGAACTTGTCTCAACAGCTGAGAGACATCAAGTTACCTGATCTTTCCAATATCGGGTCGCTTAAATTTTGACCGCGTTTCCAAGATTGTCAGTCCTCTCGTCTCTCCTGTTTTTATTGCCCGAACCCGTTTCCTGCCTTCTCAAACTGATCATTTATTTCCCCATTTATTTACAATTTTGCTTGGTTCCTAATCCGCCCCCATCATGGCCGTCTCAACAACCACCAGCAGCACGCTACTTGCCAAACTGGAGCAAATTAACTGGTGCTACTCTATTAGCACGACACTTCTCGGTGTTGACACAAACTTGCTGGTGAAATTCATTGTTGAAGAGAATGCTTACGCAATCATGTTGACAGACTTCTCCAGTACCTACTTTGAGTGTCTGATCGGAAACAAAATTGAAGAGAGTTTTAATCGGTACAACAATAAGTCTAGGCGATTAACATACCAGCAAATTCTCCAGTACATCGCTGAATTGCTGCAGGACTTAAAGGCAACTAATAACTTGTCGTTTGAAAAGATAGAAACCGATTGCCACACTACTCGAATCAACGTGAAAGCATCTAAAATGTTCAACAAGCAAAAGTTTGATTGGAGATTTTACATCATCTCTACTGAGCCTCAAATATTCCTGAAGCACTTTTCTTTGCCAGTTTGGCGCGGCCTTATGCACTACTATCAACTAAATCAACTCTCGCAAGATTCTTTTTTAAATGATCAAATGAATCCACAGGACAACAACGCGCACAATAATCACGTGAATGAGGACTTTAATTTAGTTCCCTTAATGATTGAAGATTCTAAGTTAAAGGACGTCTTTCGATAGAGAACCGAATGCATTTCCGCATCTATTTGCGCATTTCATCCTTATGTACAAAATGTAATTTCCTCCTTTCAATTGTTCATATTTATTGTTTTCAATCTCAACTCTGTTTACTTTACTCTTTCAGCCAGAGAGTCAACGTCTAATGTCTTTTCTTCAATAATAAAGCGAGTCGACGAGAGCCAATGATGATGCCAACTACCTGATGATGAGGAGGATGATTAATGTGGACATTGTGCGATTACTGCGTGTGTTTTCAGTCTGGTGTGGTAGTTCCCCAGAGAGCTGTGTTGGCAACCCAGGCGCCCAGGCGATGACAGCCACGGATCACGGCGAGAATGGTATGGCGCCGAATGACTGAAGACAGCCAGCAAGTAGTGCTCTTGCATGTGTTTATGCGCTGTGCCGAGATGGGCAACATGCGCCGTGTTAGAAGAGTCCTGCTGCTGCTGCTGCTGTTGTTGCTGTTGCAGTGATGGAAGCACTTCGAAGGCTTGCTTGTGTATCTGCTGCAGCTGCAGCTGTAACCGAGCCTCGGTGATTGCACAGGCGGTGCACACACACATGCATTGGCAAACGGTGGTGGCCTACTGTGGTTGACCACCGATGGAGCACGTTCTGAAGTGTCCCAAAGTGACAGTAGATGAAGTGGTCAGGTACAAGCACTGGACTGCAACGCTGAACACCTCCGCTCATGGACGACTGCGCCGACATTTGCGAGCCAACGGGAAAGGTGAGGGCTGATAATTACTTCCATTGTTTTGTTCTCTCTTCTAACCTTATCAACCTTTTCTTTCAGAACATGCAGTATGGCTCTCCGATGCCCTTGGAGCAGAGCTACCAGAAGAATCCGTTCGACTTTTGCTTTGAACAGGCGAGGAAGCAGAACATCACCCACCGATATGTTCCAACAATATCTACCATCAATCAGACCTCACCACTGAATACGCCTTCAATATCGCTCAACGAAGGTGCCGCGCCATGGTTACCATTGCCACTGACAACGCCTATGGTGGGCACCAGTGCAATCGAGGTCGAACCAGAGCCACCACTTCTGCAGAAGACGACCTCTCTTGAAGAACCTACCAGCAGTTTCAATGGTGCCAGCAGGGCAAACAACAACAACAACAACAGCATCAGCATCAACAACAACAATAACAACCAGCGGTCAAATGTGGTCTCTGTCATCTGTCCTCCGTCTGCAAAGACCAGTGATTCGTCTGGAGGCAGTGTCACTACCAGGTCGGCCCCAGTGCTCACCGATGCAGCCGCCAATGGTGTCGGCTCGACGGAAAATACCACCCCGGACATTAGGCTCGATGTTCCAAAGAGTGCTCCCGAGCTGACGTGTCTGCGGAGTTACCCGAGAAAGAATAAGCCGCCACTGCTTGCGCCCATCACCTTGCCTTTTCTGCCGCTGCCGAACCAAGAGGAGCCTTCTCTGCCCACAGCACAACCTTCTCTCCCAAACAGTGGCGTTAATCATCTCATCACCCCCAACATCATCAACAACATCCCCATTAGCACGCCCACCCCCACCACTACCATCACCAGAAGCCTTGAAGTCAACGACAGGTTGCCTCCCTCTACAAAGAGCCTGTCAAGTTTAATAAAAATAGTGCCCAAGCCTGGAACTGCCGACAGCAAAAATAGCGTTAACAGAATCGCCAAACAGCTCAACATTTCTAGTCTGCCGCCGAAGAGGAAGGAAAAGTCCGAAGAAGAGCTACTTTCGAGGTTAAAAGCCACCGAAGCAGCTCTGCCGCCTAAAGCGAAACCCGGTCGGAAGAGTCGCACCGCCGCGGAAGAGGATGCAAAAGATAGGAAGAAGCGTTCTCTGGAGCGAAACAGAGCTGCGGCAATGAGGTGTCGCCTGAAGAAGAAGAAGGAGATCGATGAGCTGAAAATCAAGGTGGACGAGTACGAAGAGCAGAACAATGAACTGAGGGTAAGAAGGCTTAGCGCAAAACTAACTTTCCTCTTATTAACAGTTGTTCTTTTCTTTTAGAAAGTAATCGAAGATCTCTGCGCGGAGGTTCGAGAGTTAAAGAAGGAGCTGATGCACCAAAAGGAATGTAACGAGTCGGCGTTACGATGAGGCTGCTTTCACTTCTATGAGCTGTAATTTTTTGTGTACATTTTGCAAAAACATTTTTCAAATTATAACTATTTGATTTTTGTGATTCATTTGTGAGATAGTAGCTCAATGTTTAATTGCGATAATATAAATCAAAGTAGTTGTCATCGTTGAAACAGCATATCAGTTATAAGGATGAATGAAGAGTACAAAATAGGTGAATTTTAAGTTAATGAGTAATTACAATGGTATATTAATGAGCAGGACATCGCAAGGAATATCAGGGACTTATTTTGTATGCAAGTTTTTACACTTCTCTCCAAAATTGCATATGCCTTTCATAAAGTAATAACAGACTTTTTTAGTTGACTCTTGAGCAGCAGACTGATTAAAAGTCGGCGAAAGATTTAAATCAGTTCGTGGAGGCATGTGTTGACTCCAGTCTGTAAAGCCATTTACACTATCAACCGTTGAAATGATTTTCGTGCTATTACCGTTAAGGTACTCAACGGGTGGCTCTTCGGGAAAATCAGGAATGTAAAAATAAAATAGAACGGGAGGAGTCTTTTTCTGCAGCTCTTCCAGCCGTGCGCGCTCAGTTGATTTTCCTCCAGGCTGGAAAAATTGTAGTTTTTCTGGTTTAACTACTGTAATAGGTACAAGCTTCCAGGGCATATAATCAATCGACTGATGACTCTTTTTGGTCATAATCTTCTCAGCTACTTTCAACTTGTACACATTGCATCGTTCGTCTTTATCAAGCGGAAAAATACGTTCCTCAACAAGACTTTCAGAGGTTTTCTCGTCTTTCCAACTAAAAAGAAAAAATCAGAAAACATGTTGAGTTAAAAATTCAAAATTATACCTTATTTTCATTATCTTATTCTTTTTTGTATTTTGTGGGTCATAATCCTTAAGGATTGACGTCAGTTCGTGGTGGGTTCTTTTAAAGCGTTTAGAGAAAGACATTTTCCCATTCACGATCGATGCCATAGAGATGTTTGATGAAGTCGAACCTGGATGAAAGCGTAAAAAGAAAAATGGGTATTGTTACATTTGATTGGAGATGCAGTTCTTAGAAGATATACAGAGAATTTAGAAACAGGTTGATAGTGATGCTGACTCAGCATAGCACTGATTTTGGGTTGTCTGCCATGTAAAGTTCTACCTTTCACTGTACAGCAGACTTTGTTTAGCTATACGTGCTTGTCGACGTGAAATAAATGATCCTCTAATATTAACCTTTTAACGCTTGTTCTAATTAGATTTACTATCTATTTCAGCGCTTTTTGACAAAAAAAAATCCGACTGGCGGTAAAGGTTACAATTAAATTAAAACTGATTTAAAGAGCAATGGGCAAAACAAGTCATTTTTAGGGCTAAACATGTTTCATTTAAAACCCTATTCAATTTGGTGACCGATTTGCAACTAAACCAAACCTCTTTTTATGCAGTATGTTATTTACCGTCTAAGAAAAGTTCTTAGTTTCGGAGATTAGAAAAGATATCAAATACATTGTTTGCTATGTATTTGCAAGTACAAATAACATTTTGCGACAAAAGTAATTTGGTTTAGTTAACATTCGGTCACCCGGCTAGTGTTTTTTGCAGAATAGCAATTTTGAAAACGGGTCGACAAGGTTGGAGCAGGACTGAGAAATCTGACGTCAGAATGTTCTCTATGGGAAATTCACGATGAGTAACGGCCAGCAATCTCGCGTTATAGCAACAATATATTTGATTACAAAAACGTATGAAAAATCTAAAGCACGCAAGAGAATTAATAAATACATACTTAGATTTATCTAACACTTTACTACTTGTCAATGACACTTACGAAAAAGCTGGGATGGAAGATGGTCGTTTGCGAAAAAGAAAGTTCAAAAAAGCTCGATTGTAGTAGTCGCTTACCCTGCCTCGCTGAGACTCAAAAGGGAACTGATGAAAAGTGAGAGCTGAGCTTGGCGACTAAAAAATAAAGCGAAAAGAAAACGCAAAAAACGTGCTCGAAAAAGACGTCACGTGCTCGTAGTTTTGTACGGCAAAAAAACAAGCTTTACTATTACAGTGCTACAGAGGGCAGCACTGTGAAGTTAGATAAGAGAAAAACCATATTCGTGGAGCCTGTGCTCAATCTTATCAGCTGTCGATAAAGACTGTATTGTCTTCTACTGAGAGACCATCACTAGAAGATCGCTAGTCTAAGCATTTTTTAATCGGTTAAAAATGTACTCTCACAGCACAAAATGCACGTATATTGTTTACTATTCCAGTAATGACTTTTGCCACCTTTCTAAGGCTGACATGTTATGAGTCATAACTTATGAGGGCATTTTGTGAAGTCGATGCAAAACTTGTCCTGAAATAGAACTTTCAGTCTTAAATTTTTCAAAAACTAAATACTGTTTGTTCGAAAATGGGTGACGAGCTTTTAAACGCCTGACCTAGTTGTCAGCAAAAATCTGTTTGAAAGAAAGCTTGAAAAAAGTGTGATTTTATCTGTCTGACCAATCAGCTGAACGATGCCTCCCAAACGAATTCCCANAAAAATCTGTTTGAAAGAAAGCTTGAAAAAAAGTGTGTCTTTATCTGTCTGACCAATCAGCTGAACGATGCCTCCCAAACGAATTCCCAGCAGCTTCACCAGCAAGGCGATCACCGAGGGTGAGTACATAGCGGGCGCCAGTGGCAGCAAGCTTAGCGCCACCAAGCTTCCCGTTAGCATGTCAGCTCCGGCTGGTGCGTCCACTTCGAAGGCTGGCCGATCTACCTCGCACGCCAATGCCTCCAAGTCGAAGGTGGCGAAGGTGCGTTCTGACGAGCCCACAGTTCTGCTGGGCGTCGTCGATATGCCCGTGCCAAAGGCGCCGGCCAAAGGCGGCAAAGGAGGCACCTCAATCGCTCGAGTCGACTCGGCTGCACCCACGGCTCTGGTCGCGCCCGCCGACTACGTGCACATGTACAAGGCCGGTGGAGTTAAGGTGGTGGCCGGGGGAGGGACGAAGAACAAGGGGGCGGGAAAGGGTGGCGGGGACGCACTGACTGCCGTCTCTAGCGAGGCCCCCACTGCCCTCATTGCTCCCAATGACTACGAGGTAAGAGGACTAAGAGGGATAACAATAGCTCCTTGCTGACTGACACTGTTTCCCTGTTTCAGCACATCTTTTGCGCCCCCGAGGCGAACACCAAGAAGGTGGGCAAGGTGGTCAGCAAAGCTCCCGTCACCTCGGAAGTGCACGCTCCAGCGAGCAAGATGCAAAAGTCGAAAGTGGCAAACAAGAAGGACACTGCTGCGGCGGGCGGTGGCTCTTCCTCTGCGACCAAACTCCAGCACCAGCAGCCACCTCAGCAGACGCAGCACAGTCGTCATGCGAACAACAACAGCAAGAGCAAGGGCAATCGAAAGAAGGAGACCTCAAAGCCGACTTCGGCCACTGAGAAGGCTGCTGCTGAAAGTGCCACTCCCGGGGATGGTGCTCCCGGAGACCAGGACGATTCGGGCTGCTGTCTGATTATGTAGTGGGCTCTGGCGCAGTGGTCACCAGACAGCAGACGGCAATCTTAGCTGCCTGCCTGGAACTTGTTCCCTTTCTCCTTCAAGCACATATTCTAGCCACCAGTGGCCACTACTACTACACACACACACCACCACCACCACCTCCTCCTCCTCCACCTGTCTAAACATTCTTGTAAACTGGGAGGAGTGAGTAGTAGAAANTCCTTTCTCCTTCAAGCACATATTCTAGCCACCAGTGGCCACTACTACACACCCACACCACCACCACCACCTCCTCCTCCTCCACCTGTCTAAACATTCTTGTAAACTGGGAGGAGTGAGTAGTAGAAAACATAATAATAAACTCCACAATAGTTTTACTGATGGCTTAGGTTTAATAAATAACTGCAAGTGAGTTTGCAAGAAAAAATAAATAGGGTTTGAGAAGCAGTGTGGCTTGCGCTTAGTAGCCTCCCTTGGTGGAGCCCAGACTGCCCAGAGAGGTCAGACCGCCCTTGCCGCCGGAGGAGCCAAAGCTCAGTGGGCGAGATGAGCCGAGAAAGCCAGTGGAGGAAAGGGGAGATGCTGCTTTGGGGGTGAGAAGGGCGGATGGGGAAGAGAGCTGTCGGGGAGCTGAAAGCTGCTGCTGGGGCGCAACCAGCTGTTGCTGCTGC